AATATATAGGAATGGAGGCAACCTTTTGAATAGGTGTGTCCCTTGAAATGAATGGACGCATCTGTTGAAAGAAACATACCTATTCAAAAACTTCTGAAAATAAAATTCTCTTTCGGGGGCGTTGCCCCCGAGCCCCCACGGGGGGCGCTGCCCCCTCGACCCCCGCGACCTGACCGGGCAGGTCGATCCCCGTTGCGTAGCGGCAAACACTAGTCGGAGCGGCAAAACATTCGCAAAATAAAAGATAATACATGCAAAATGATGAAAAATATCTAACATTGATGATGTAAAATATTAGGTTGTGAGCACTTTAAACTAGTATTAAAAATGAAATATTTTGAATTCATTTGATATACCATAATGTCCCAAAAATTAAGATAAAAATATAATGAATTTAGGAAATATTTTGGCCGTGAGCGCCGCTCTTTTCTTTGAAAAATTCTCCACGCGTCAACTCTTTATTTTCATGGCACATCACGAAATTCAAATCCCTGGATTTTTCCTGTCAACCATGGCATGTATGTTCATCATTGTTCGATTGTCACTAGTAGACAAGGCAGTGCAAATGATTGGAAAACATCACTCCATTTAATAATTTGTCGAGTAATAATTTCACCCCAATTTAAAATAATTTTCATAAATCGAATAACAGATTATGGGGAAATGACTTTCTTTTCTTTTTGGTAAGAAAATTCGTGAATTGCATTTTCGTGTAGGACATTTGGTCAATTGTTGTAATAATCGATAAGAACACCGTTCTCCATTCAGATGATCAATTGTTGTAATTATAAATGAGATTACACAAATAAGCGGTCAATTATTTTGTCAACTAAATTTCGATAATAATAAGGACAATTAGGACCTGTTTGACTTGATTTTTGAAAGTCAAAATGAGTTTTTAAGATAAAAAAATAACTTTTGGACCCGTTTAGCTAATTTTATAAAGTGTTTCTTTTAGCTAAAAGAGCTTTTATAGAAGTTTGTCTAATATGATTTCCTCTAAAAACACTTCTAAAATAAGAAACAATTTTAAAAATTAGTTTCCAAACAAAATTTAAGGTAATTTCCTCTAAAAAAAATTTTAAAAGAAGTAAAAGCAAAAGTAAAAGTCATACAATTATCAATGGGATTAAAATATTAAGAGAATTGAACCACGGGAAAAAAATACAAAAAAATTCTTTGTGGTTACAAAAATCGCATTGAAATACATTACCCATGTCTATGAAGAAAACCGCCTCACAAAAAGGCAATTTTAAAGCCCATTTGATTCTCATTCTCATTATTGTAGAATGAGAATGAAAAATATAGTTGTTATTGGGCCCTACACAAGAGATAGAAATTCAAAATTGATGGCTTGATGTGATGAATAACGGTCATATTTTTCATTTTTATGGATGAAAAATGAGAAACAAACGGGGGCTTAGTCAATTTTTAATTTTGTATTGTATTGCCTTGTGTTTAGAATTTAGGAAATTATATTCAAATTACAGTTTTTTTTTGTTACCTCACATTTTAATTGCGATGAATATCCTCAAATTTTGTCCATTGTCGAACTTATCTTCCCAAAATTTTTCATCCTCATTCTTATTATCAAAATCTTTCATTAATTAGTACATCTTGTTTCTGATAATGTTTTCTGTTCAAAAAAGGTCATTTAAAGGCATTGACTATGCTTGGCTCATGTTTATAAATTATTTATGAACACTCAAATAATTTTTTATCTTCATATTTAGAGGAAGCCACAAAACTACTCACATATCTACCACTCGTTTTTATTTATTTAAAATGTAAACCATTTATAAACATTTTCCAAAATATGCTTTTACCACTCAAAATTTGAAATAAGACCCTGTTTGATGGACTATATTTTCCTAGGAAAAAGGAAAATAATTTCCAACTTTCCCACCATTGGTGGGAAAGCATTTTCCAGTCTGACGTCCTTTTTTTTTTTGGGCAATGAAAACAAATTTGTATTGGTCAACATTTTTTTTAAGTGAAATTACCTGTTAAAAGTATAATTTATTTCAGTTTGCTTATGATTTGAAACTATTTTTTTTTATTAAAAAATCCTTTATAAAAAAAAGCAAAAAAATTTTACTTTTTGGCAATTGAAACAAATTTTATAACCAATTGTAAAAATAATTATCACTTTAATGGACAATTTCCATATAAAACAAAGCCAAACGAACACAAAATTTAAAAATTTTCCAGGTGGAAAATTATAACAATCAAACACACTTAATTAACAATTCCCTGTAAAACGTTTTCTAGGCAATTACTTTCCCTAGAATTCATTTTCTTTCCACCCATACAATCAAACGGATCCTAAGTAAAAATGAAAATAGCGAATACAAACATTTGTCAAAATGGGTTAAATCCAACAATTGCCATCCAACTTTATACCTAATGTTATCATTGTCACTTAATTTGATTTTGTTTCACTATGACCGTCTAATTTCATATAACGTTTCACAATGGCCGCTCAATTTCTTTTTACCAGTTTCACTAATTTTAAAATGGGTAAAACGGTAATTTTATATTATATATAAAAAATAATTTTAAAAATAAAATAAAAACTTATTTAAAAAAGGTTACTTAAAAAAATAAAAAATAAATAAAAACTTATTTAAAAAAACGTATTTAAAATAAAATAAAAACTTATTTTAAGAAAATAATTTTAAAATAAAAAAAAACTTATTTAAAACAACATTACTTAGAAAAATAAAATAAAAATTTATTTTTAAAAAAAAAGTTCCTTAAAAAAATAAAATAAGAACTTATTTAAAAATACTTTTTAAAAATAAAATAAAAACTTATTTTTAAAAAGTTAATTAGAAAAAATAAAATAAAATAAAATCTTATTTTTAAAAAATACATTTAAAATAAAAAAAATTATTTTTTTAAAATTATTTTATATAAATAATGCAAACTTACCATTTTACTCATTTTAAACTTATGTCATGTTTGATTGGTGTTATTTTCCTTAGAACTTGGAAAAGGAATTTCATTTTCCTGGTTTTGGCTTGTTTGATTGCCACAATTTTCTAGGGAATTTTTTTCCCCCCCACCCCTATTTTCCTCAAAATTGATAAAAAGNTTTTTGGTAATAGAAACAAATTTTATAACCAATTGTGGAAAAAATAATCACTTTAATGGACAATTTTCTTATAAAACAAAGTCAAACGAATACAAAATTTAAAAATTTTTCGGGTGAAAAATTATATCAATCAAACACACTAAATTAACAATTCTCTACAAAACAATTTCTAGGCAATTAGGGGCTGTTCTCTTTGTGTTTTAGTTTTGAGTTTTGAATTCATTTTGTGTTTTATGTTTTGAGTGTCTGTTTTGAAATTTCTGAAAATGCGTTCTTTTTGTCATTTTGAAAAACTGTTTTTGAAACCATAAAAATGGAAAACACGCTTACTTTGAAATTTTGAGATTTTTTTAATAATATTTTATTCAAGAAATCTGATTATTCAATAAATTTAAATAGTTTAATGTTAATAAAATATTAAATAACATATAAATTTTGAAGTTGGTGAATCTTGAAATATTTTTTTCCAAAATATAAAAAACATAACCTAAATTAAATTTGACAAATCCTTATTTTTGTCCTTGTACGTAACTTGTGACAATTTTATCGAGTTCATGTTAGTTCTCATAATTCTTATCAAATACAATTTTGATAGTCTAAACATGAGGACTGTCATAAGTGATAATAAATACAATTTGATTACCTAAAAAAATAATCAAAATGATATCATATACATGAAGAAATAATATTTGTTATATCATAGATCTGTTTTAACAACTACACTAGGTACATCTGTAATTCCAAATGACATTTCTGAATGTTCATACTATAGACAATTCTTTGCAAAGAACATAAAATTGAAATACAAATTGAAGACTTCAGAAGTTCGTGAAGAAAGATTCATCAAACTCAAACAAACAGCTTCAAGTGCTCAGTACAAAGAACATAATTGTCGTTGACATAATTTGTCCGGTCTTGGAAGCTAGGGTACTTGAAGTGAATGTCAGGATCCTCGCTGCAGTAAAGCAAATATTAGTACACAAGCTAACCAGTATAATATGTATAATGGCTCGGCACTCAGACCTTGCAGTGCGAAGTCTCGTGCTTTCTTCAGAAATTACCTAGAGTTGAAATATGATCCCAAGAAGAAATATAATCCTTCATACGACTTAAGCTGCTCAAATATCTCGATGCAAGAGTCAACCCCCAACTGCTCACAATATTCTTTTGCAACCTACAGAAAAGAACTAGTCAATGACTCAATGTTGCTAATAACAAATTCACTACTGGAGAGTGCAATGATCAAGAAGAGTTGATAAAATTTCTGTAAATTGTTTAAATACAGGAAAGATTATTGTTACTTTAGTTGGGCTCTCTCACCTTCTACAGATTATTATTTGAATCCTATAATCACATCAAAAGGAGCATGCATTTCAGACCTGTCCAAGCTAAATCCGATGTTTGATAAGATTTGTGAATGCTGACAATACCTTGAACGATTTGGAGCGACAGATTAAGGGCTCTAATTCTGAAGCCATTGAATAGGACTCTTCCGCTTCTTCAAATTGATCCATAGCCATTAAAGCATCAGCATGGGAAACATAACACTGTAATTCAAAATTGATAAACATATAGACAATGACACTGAAATTGAAAATCTAGGTTCGTACATCACAATCATGTGATCAAATGACAACCTTACAAACACATATATGATGAACATGCGTGAATGTGTTCATACACCAATAGAATTCTTGCTGGCATATTCAGCAGAATAATGTAAAAAGCAAAGGGTTGTAAACAACACTGGTGATGCCATGCTAAACATGGATTAAACCACTTAATTCGAGACCAAACATACAACAAAAACAGTTACAATATGAGGATAGCAAAAAATCAATAAACTACTACGATGTGTGCCCTCCTCTGCACCAGCTTCAAAGGTCTCACCATCAACAAGGTTAGGCACCTCATCCTCATCGTCTTTCTGTTCCAAAGTAGCACTAGCGCCAGGCGGTTGCTTCTGGAATTGCTCTGCCAATTTCTTCAGATTCTCCAAGTTATCAGGGCCTGAATTTTTTAGGTTAAACCATTCATTTAATCAAGTTCTAATAGCAGCAATCAAACAGGAAAATACCACAAGAAGCTGGAAGTGTTGCGTACCCAACTGATGAAAATTTTGAAGAAGAATGTCTTTCAATTCATAACACATTAATAATCTACTTTTAACAATTTATGCAAAAATCTTCATAATAGATTATCAAAGCTCACATGGTTGGCATAGAAAATCAGTTAATTAAGGCAGAAACAGTACGAACCTTGATTGCTTTCAAGTTTCAACAGAAGGTAGATTAACCATAATTTAGCATATTAATTAATGTCTGTGACTTTGTAACATAAAGCAACTAACGAATGGAACAACAAAAACACACAATCCCAAACTCACCACCGCCAGTCACCACCACTGCCTACCATCGCCACCACCAATCACCACTGCAATTTCCAATCAACACAACCGAAATCAATGGGTCGAAACCAATCAACACAACCAAAATCGAAAAAACCAAAAATCTCCAAGCTTGCAAATCGAAAAGAGAGAGAACTTCACCTTGCCTAGAACGACGCCAATGGGTTGCCGAGAACTTCACCTTGTCGAGAGAGTACGCAGAGACGGGCCAAACCCTAGTAGCATCGTGAAGAATGGGTTGCGGCGTTGCGTTTACGCCTGCGAAGAATGGGTCGCCTCCCCACGACGGCTCCGGTACCGGCTCATCTCCTTCGTCCAGAGGGAAGAAAGAGAGGGGATGGATTGGAAGAAGATGGAAGAAATTGAAAATGGGGTAGTGGAGCTGTGAAGGTGTTAAAAATTGTCATTTTCCGTGTTTTCATTTTTTCCCCCTGTTTTTGCTTGAAAACAGCTAAAACGTTGTTTTTATTGTTTTGTGTACAAATTTTTTATCGTTTTCAAAAACGAGTTTTCAAAAATAAGAAAGATAACGCGTTTTCATTGTTTTGGAAAATCGAAAACAGAAAACGACCCAAAACGGCCAAAAAGAACACCACCTTACTTTCCCTGAAATTCATTTTCTTTCCACTCATTTTCCACCCTTACAATCAAACGGACCCTTAGTGAAAAGAAGTTGGGACATTGTGAAACGTTGAATGAAATTAGGTAGTCACGATGAAGTAAAATCGAATTGAATAGCTATGATGACACTAAATATAAAATTGGGTGTTCATAATGACACTAAGTAAAAGGTTGGGTGACCATTGATGGATTTAACATTTAACAAAATACTTGTCCATCATTTTGAAGAACGCAAATAGAATATTTGGATAAAAACTATCACCAGTGACAAAATATGTTAATTGATTAAAGATTTATGCTACAAAGTATGACCGAGAAAATGGGACATAAACGAGAGAATGAGCAAATGTTGGCTACTTTGATTGCAATGACTATGTGGTGCACCAAACAATAATTGTTGTGTGAATACAATTATCTTTACAATTTTTCATGATATTATTATAATTTGTTAACCCCTTTTTACATACTATATTTTGCATAATGATTACAAAAATCATTTTTTAAAAACAGACTATAAATTGTTGTAAATATAGTAATATTTATGAATAACTTTTGAGTATGCTATTCAACCACTAGTGTTTAGTACCAATTTATGTGGCAATTACACGACATTAAATGATAGATTTATTTAAATGTAAAGTCAAATAACTCATTTAATTCAGCCTAGAAAGTGCAGTCACATAGACTGGTGCTCTACCATTACTGATACTAGATAACATTATTCATAACTTTTATATCTATATAACCTTAGAAATTATTACTATTGTATTTTTAATCATTCACTATAAATATAGGATTTTAGTTCTTAATAAAACATACAAGTTTGTTGACTTCTCTCTTTTGTTCTCTCTAGTTTATAAAACGTTGTCAGCATGATAACTTTATTTTTCCTAATAATTCAAAGCCTAATATTCTTTGTAAGAAAAAAGGGCAAAACGAAATCTCGACTCCTTCCTCGTTTTTCTTCTTCGCACACACAGCACCACAAAGTAACAAACCATTCTCTCTCTCTCTCTCTCTGCTAGTGTTTCTAGTTTTTAGTGGCGTTTCTTCTTCTAGAAATTCTCAATTCTGGGGTTTTACAAATATTATTCTTGTTTAGGCCATGTTCGAACGGGGGGCGACATGGCTCTCCCTATAGGCGAGGCGTTTGCCCCTTGTTCATGTAGCGGGGCTCTGTTATGCAATTTCAATTCTCTTAGAATTAAGCTTCTTTACTAGAAAGGAGTGGAGCTCATGTGAGACCCATGTGAATAAAAATGGCCAAAAAAATCCTCTCCTCATCCCTATTGTGAGTATACTGTTAGGGAGGGTGTCAAACCTTCTTGATACCCTATTTGGCACCAGAGTAGAATTGATTTTCTTAAGCTAATGTAGCAAAGAGGGAGGTGTATTAACGGGGGCATGGGACCTTAAACCTCAACTTTCTCTCTCTATATTGACTGTTGCCGTTTGACTTTGGAACGAACGCTTTTTGACTAATGCATATTGACTGCTGATAAGTACGTTTTACATACTTATTTTACTGTCAAAATATGAGAAATTGTTGATTAATATGTTGAAATATAGCTTAATTCTATGCAATTCATGTTTTGCAGGACAAGTGATGAATGTAGCGAAAATAAGGAGAAACAATTGCTAAATGACCAGAATGGAAGAAAGTGAAAGTTCAGGGACTAAAGTACAAATACTCAAAAATTATGTCGGGACTCACGATGAAGGTTTGAGAGTGCTAAGGGTTGATTGGAAGCAATTAGAAGTCAAAAAGGAATGGAATATTATCAAAATCAATTTCCAATTCGCACAAGATATATATCTAGATTTTTAGCTGAAAATTGAGACCCATTTTTGGTATAGTAAAAGTCTGAATTGGAAAAGATCTATTTCTAATAAAGTTGTATCTCTTCGAGTTATCTTTTCAACGCATCTTGAATCATCTAAATCAGATATTGGAAGAGAAAGTTATAATCAAATTACTGACTGCTATGTAGAGACAAAAAATCCGCGCGCGAAAGGAACTTTCCTTATTCGATTAGAACTCTTTTGGAAACCAATTTGGACGTGATTTTCATCTAATTTCCGAATCTTACAAATACTTCATAGCAGAATACATATGGAGAAGGCCCCCATACACCATTCTTCTCTTCTTGGATTCAAGAAACTCATGGAGAACTAAAGATCTTGATGAAGCTACGAAGGAACTCGATTGGAATTGGTGATTTCATGTCTTTTATTCATTTAATTTGATCTTTTCATTGTCAAACAATGCTAGAATTTAAATTTTCATTCTCTTGAATTTATATTGAAATCGGTTTAATA